AACTTTCAGAGGTACATTAGAATCTCCTTCTTCTGGGACGTTGTCATCTTCGTTGGTCTCTTCATCGTCTTGCATAGCGTCTTCATGTGTCTTCGCCTGTTGGATGTCCTGTTGGGCGTTGCCCACGATCATGATTATCGTCTGCAGAAAGCGTGGCCAATGGGGGACCAATTTAGTTCCTAGTAACCTGTTGACATCTGCCAAAAAAAACCAGGAATCCGACTTGCTGCTTGCCCGTGATCGAGTGTGGTAGTGTAGATACTGCGGAGATGGTTCCAGATGACGGGAAGTTCATTAGCTGGAATGGCTGTAGCATAAGATCTACAAGTGTAGCCAATTCCTCATCCTGGCATTGCCTCAGGGCGGAGAGGAGAGTCACGCGTCTGTCCTGGGGTTTGTTACGACCACGACGCTCTCTCATCATACCATAGAACAAGCGAATGAGGATTTCGACGTATTCGGATCGCTCTGGAGTCTGCATGGCGCTTGCTAGGTCAAGCCCGGTGAGGTGGTCCTTCCACGTCGCGTCATCGAGCAACCCCCTTATAGTATCTTCATGATCGGTAATGGCTTTGTTCTTGTATGAGAAGATACAGTCCATGGAAAGGCGCTGTAAGACTCGGTCCGGATGCGATAGGAGGGAATTGTATAAGGAGTGTAATGAAGTGGCAGAATAGACACCTTTCGGGTTATTGAATTTAGCCAACAGTGTCAGCCAAGAGGAGAGCTTGTGGTGAGAGGTACGTGTTCCATGCTCAGGAGAAGCGAATGAGAGAAACAGTGGGATAAGATCGCGGTTGTGACGTTCTGCATATTGTGCGCAACCTTCTAACGTCTTTAATAACTGCTTTTCGTAGTTCTCTCGGTCAAATCTCTCCTCCACCAGTTGGTCCTTGAAAAGTTCAGAACATAGCTTGATGTCGGAGAAAGGGGTTCTCACCTTGATCAAGGATGATGAATCATTGTTCGTCTTGACCAAACTCAGAGCATTGTACGTCTCTTGAAGACCAGGATTTCTCCAGGTCTTTTCATCTTCTTGATATGGATACTCCTTATCGACCTCTACCGCCCATATGGGGGCTTTGTCAAACAAGCTGGCCTCGTCAAACAAGCTTTGCATTTCCACTCGAAAGATGGGCCAAATTTCCTCGCCACACCGGTTAATAAGACTGATAAGAGCCTCCGTACTCGCTTTCCACACAGGCATCAGATTGACTTTGAACTGCGCTATTGTTACGAGTTTTCAGGGATCTCTCTCTACAGCTCGTTAAAGAAAAATCTCTTACTAATTAGCCATCGGACACACAGAGTCACCGCATCGGCAGATTGCCCAACCGGAGCTAAAGTACCGATCCTGGACGTTTTCAAGACGCGTTCTGGGGCACGAGTGCTTGACAACTCGACACTCTCCGCTTGTAAACAGATATTTACTGCGGTCTCTTCTTCCGCACTCCGTCTTACAGCTTTACTCGCCAGGATTTGCAGGCTACTGCGCCGAAGGGAGTTGATATGGGATGTCAAAGCGGGAATCAAAGCTTGAAATACATCTGTGAACGCCATTGGTTGACCGCTATAAAGTGCATACGGAATTAGTGAAGCACGGAGCAAATGTGGACATCAACGAACCAAAATTGCGAGAGGGATGCCAAGCCTTCGAGTACTGAGGGATTCCAACTATAGCTACTGACGCATTTATTGAACCAAGCATCTACGCTCGATCCTTTATTCCATCCTTTGCATTTAGCCAGTGCTTTGAAACACGCGCCGAGACACCAGGCTGGATTTGCGGGCGAGTCTTGGTACACCCGATGAGCGTCCAAATTCAATGAGAGTAAGGCGTCTACAACCCTTGCGACGGCGTCGACGATATTAGGTAGATGTGGCAAGAGTGCGAGGATGTGATATAAATTCATAATAGATTCTTCCTTGATGCTCCAGCGCGATGGTGTTGCAAGGACTTCATTTGCCCAGTCGTCCAGTCGTTTAGAGCAAAAGTTCTCGAGAAGGCTCTTCCATTCAGAGTCATCGAAAGAGATACGGTTTTCCCTTGTCAGCAAATACAGTACTTTGAGGGTGGCAAATGGGTGTCTCTCATAATTCTGTATTATCGCTCTATTTCTGATCAGATCATTGACCGTATTCATGACTTGTAGACTCACTTTTGTAACGAGGGTAGTACAAAGACTTTCCAGTTGGCACCCTTCGATTGGTCGAGGTCTGAAAGA